CACCCACCTCTCCCTACACAAGGGTGCTGGGCTCCTTGAGAAGTGATGGATACGGGTGTAATGGGTGGCTTTCCCACTCCCAGCACCCCTCTGCCCCGCCAGGAGGGGCCAGGCAGCAGGTGACTCCAGGTGGATGCCAGTACCCCAAACCGCCCAGCAATGCCTTACAGCACCCAGACTCCATCAGTGCAGCAGGTGCTTGCTGTGGAAGCCGCTCGTGGGCAGGTAGCTTCCCGCTGCCATCACTTCAGTCAAAAAAAAGGAAGGAATTCCCAGCTGCTGTGAGCTTAGCGCCGCTCCAGCTGCCTTGGCCCAGCCTCTCTCCTTTGCTTTGAGGCTCAAAGCCCCTCACTGGAGTTCTGGCCATGGTGGGAAGCCAGGCTGGGGATGAAAGTGCCGCTTACCTGCTTACTTATGCTCCAGCGCCCAACGAGCAGCAACACACGGATTAACAAAAATAATTCCCCCTAGAAAAAGAGGGGAGAAAGAGAGGAAAAAAAAAAAAGAAGGAAAAAAGAAAAGAAAGCCTCTGCTGTGGGAACAGCCGGCTAACCTCGAAAGCCTCTTACCTGGCTAGATTTAACTGCCTTTGTTGCTGCATCAGCCTGAAAAATCCCCTCTTGCATCGTGTCAGTGCTGCTGGCAGCTCCGAGCCGCTTCCCGGCCCTTTGTAATGAAAGACGGCTCTGTGCAGCGCGGCGGCCGGGGCTCCGCTGCTCCCCGCTCCGGCTTTTCTCCTGGGAAACCCAGCTCATCTATCGCGCTGTTTTTCTTTGTGGGCCTGTCCTCGGTCTGCATGGGGCTCCAGAAGCGACCTGGGGTGGAATTGCCTGTATTCAACACTGGCCCTGGCATTAACTTATCTTCTGCCTCCTTTTGAACCTGCTTATCGCTGTGATCAGAATTGCGGCACTTCCAGCTTGCTTGCGAAGTGGCATTTCTGAGCCATCTCTCCAATCTATTAATTAATTAATGCCTTTATTAATGCTAGAGGAATGGCATGGGTTGTGCCTGGGGCTGTGGGCACTAGAAGCAGGGGAGCCTGGGTGAGCCCAGTATGTGAAGGTGTGAAGTGATGCTGTCCTGCGGGATCGATGCTGGTAAGACACAGCTCCCACACGCTCCTCTTCCAGGGCAACCTCCAAGGCTACCTCTGCCATCGCGGCCCAAAGCCTGGCATGTGCCATGCTCCAGCCATGCTCCAGCCAGCAGCAACATGGGGCTGGTAGTGAGCAGGACAGGACACCATGAACAGGACTAAGCCTGGGTGACATCTGCAACCCTGATTTTTCTGTCACCTTGGGCTCAGTCGTCAGAGGGAGGTAAATCGGTTGTGAGGCAACGAGGGGGGAGATGTGTATGTGTATGGGGTGCAACACCAGCCCGAATGTCCTCTCTGAGTTGGCATCACCTGGAAGGGTGGCAAACAGCCACGTTGCCTGGGAGCATCTGGCAGAGGTGGCAGATCCCAGCTGGAGGACATGGAGGAGACTTTAGATGAGTGCGGTTTGGGGGACATGAGTGCACCCCAGCGCCCAGGGCTGCCTCACCCGTGCGGGATGCACCTGCAAAACCCCACTAGCATGTGTGTGGGGACAGTCACAGTCCCCTTCCTGGACCTGAGCTCTGCTCAGCTGGAAGTGAGCAGGAAACAGGCTGGTGACGATGCTCCATCCTGGCTGAGATATTTTGGTCAGTCTCCCAGGGCGGGCATCCCTGTCCCAGGCTGTGCTCCCCCTGTGTCCCTCCACCCCGGGCTGTGGCCACATCTGGGCTGTGATCTCCACACTGGGCTGTGCCCCCATCCCGGGCTGGGCTCCCCCTGTGCCCAGAGCAGCCTCGGGGGTAGGGGTTCCGGGGGGGAGGTCGGGCGGTGCGGAGGGAGCGAGGGGGCCGGGGAGGCTGCGGAGGGCGGGGAGCCCCGGCCGGGCTGGGGGCCGGTGCCGGGCAGGGCCGGGCAGGGCCGGGGGCGGGGAGGGGGCGCTCGCCCCCCCTTCCCGCTGCCCGCCCCCGCGGCAGCGCGAGTCGGCGGCGGCTGCAGACGGGGACGGCGGCGCCGCGCAGGTAGGACCGACACCGGCAGCGCGGCCGGTCGATGGGAGCTCGGTGCGGGGCAGGAGCGGGCGGCGGGGCTGGCGCGCCGGCTCCGCTCGGCTTGGCTGGACCGGCGGGGAGCGGGGCCAGGTCCTGCCCGGTATCGGCCCCGGGGATGGGAGTGGCGGAGCCCGGCGCGGGGGTGGCCCCGCTCCCCGCCGCTGGCCGGTGGCGCTGGGCCGGGGCCGGGGTTGGATCCTGCCAGGGACAGCGGTGAGGGAGGCGGCTGCCTGGCCGGCCCGGATAGAATGGCTCCGAGATGGAGGATCGGTGGTCCTGGGGATCGCTCGGGGTGATGGGGTTTCTCGGGTGCCCCCGGAGAGCGAGGCCGGGGGATGCCGGGGGCTGGCGTGGGCGTGGGTCGGGTGCCGGGTGCCTGGCGGCAGGTGGATCCTGGCGAGCGAAACCTTGGGGGTCCCTTTGGCCGCTCGCTGTGTTCCCCCACGTCCCCAGCGATCACTGCTCTGGCCACCGTGGTGGCGACGAGGGGACCTGGGAGAGCCCACTCGAGTGGGAGATACCCTGGGAGGCAGGAGTCATGTCCTGGGGGACCGAGCCCTTGTCTTCCTTACATGCCCCTGTCCCGCGCAGAGCCCCGGCCAAAAGAGACTGACTCCCTGTGGGGTCACTGCATCATCCCGGGTGGCCTCGGAGGGCTGTCGGGGTGGCCGGTGGCTCCCCGGGGGTGCGATACATGTGACACGGCTGAGCTCCCCTCTCCGCTCCCGGCTGCCGCCTCTTCCCTCTGCAATTTTTCACCCTCCCATCTCCACGTCTACCTCTGCAGCCTCCGGTTTCTTTTTTATCCTTCCCTCTTGTTTCAAGATCCGTGGGTTTGTGTGGGCTTTTTTTTCCAGCCCACTCTCCCCCTGCCCCCCCCCGCCTGTTTTCTCATCCGTGCTCTTGCTCGATCGAGCCCTTGTCTTTGTTTCAGCTGGGGAAAAAAAAAAAAAAAAAAAAAAAAAAAGAAGAAGAAATAATTGCTTCCCTTGTAAAGTTGGCCCTGGCAGAGCGAGCCCCTGGAGAGCGATGCTGCCCGGGTGGCGCGGGAACCAATGGCAGCCCCAGCCGCCCTCCAGCCGCTGTCCCCAGCGCGGGGGGACAGCCACGAGCCCCAATAAATACCTGTCACCTCCCAGGCAGGGCGGTGTTGGGATGGCCATGGTTGGGGTGCACCGGCGGTCTGGCTCAGGTACCTCCCCGGCGCTGCTTTCCCCAGGGTGGGTTTTTCTCCTAGCACGATTTTCATCATGGGCCCCGTGTCTCGGTTTGGGCATCTCCGTCACTCAGGTCTGTGCGCGGTGCTGGTCCCCGGGGGTCCCGTGGGGCTGGAGGGCCTTCAGCTGGCCTGGGGTCTCAGGGGGCTTGTGTTTCACGTGTGCACTGCTATGCCCAGGTTTGCCTTTGTTTGGAGCAGGGACGGGGACGAGGGACGGAGGGGGGAGTCGGTCTTTTATTTTCCCTTTTGCATGTACCTTTCATACCGGCCCCAGGAGGGGATCCCGTTTCCCCGAGCCGCCTTTGCTCCGCGTCGCTCCTCCTGCACTGCCGGGGTTCACACCGGCCCCAGGTAAAAGGAGAAGCCGGGGCTGATCTGTGCTCCCCGAGCGGCGGGCAGGCTGCCGGATCCCGGTGGCGATCGGGGCTGCTTTGTGGCTGGGTTTGGCCTCGCTGGCTCGGGTATCGCCTGCCGGATGCTGGCGGCAGAATCTGGCCCCTTGTTTATGAGCGAGGGAGTAGTTTTGTCCTTATCTCCATCTGCTACGGAGGCCGGAGCTAGAATTTCAGTGGGATGCTGTGGATCACTCCAGGCGGCAGCCAGCGTGGGTGCTGCCCCCAAGGGGATGGGGTGCCCAGGGGAAGATGTGGGCACCCCGGGGGTGGCAGAGCAGTGATGGGGTCTGCCGAGCCCAGAGCTGGGCTGTCGAGGACCATGGGTTTGGCCACGGATTTATTGTCTGGTGTCTTCATCTCCCCTCTGCTCTGTCTGGTTCCTTCTCTATCTCTAGGCTGGCTCTAAAAGGCAGGGCAGAGGTGATGCTCGGGATGAGCGGCACACAGAGGGCACGCGGGGTGTTTTGGGTGGTGTGCACACACCGGGGTCTACTAAACACCCACACAGATGCCTTGTCCCCACGAAGTTTGTTTTTTTTTTTGAGGATGCTGTTGCGGCTTCGAGCACCCGGTGGTTCTGACCAACTAAACAAACCCGGGCGGAGCAGCAGCAGAATGTGAGGGCACCGAGCTCCCTGGGGAGGCTCTGGCCGGCGCCCCCCCGGCTCACCGGTGTTGGCACCGGCGCGCCACATCCATGGGCTGTGTTTGGAGGAATGACGTGTGCGGTGACGGGAGGGAGGGAGGGCGAGCAGGGGACCATCAGGAGCCGGAGCCTGGCCGCATCCTGGGGCTGGCGTGGGCATCCACAGCAGGGACAGCGAGCCGGGGAGGGGGATGCACAAGGGATGACGTCCTCCTCCACTCTACTCTCTGCCTGCCTCTGCGCTGCTGAGCTCCAGCACAAGTGCTGCGAGCCCCTGCCTGCCCCTGCCTGCCCTCTCGAAGCCGTTTGAACTCGGCCACGGGGAAAGAAGGCCAGGCGTAGGGTTTCCTCCCACCTCCCCTTTTATTTTATGTGTGTGTGCTTTTAGACATTAGACATTCCTGAGAGGATATTCGTTGCCGGGGCTGGGACGCCTCCTGTCAGAAAAAACTCATGGGAAAATGGGGAATTGGTTTGGGATTTTTTTCTCCCGTGTCTTGACCCTTTGAGTTATTGAAAAGCCAGCTGCAGCTCAGCCCTGTACAGTGATTCCCACGTGTTTCCAGCCAGTCATTTCGGGTTTGTAGGTGGCTTGCAAAGAATTCATTGTGAATAGGGGAGCAGCAGCTCACACTGTTGTGGTTACATGGTTTTATCTCTGTTTCCTCCCCTCCCTGCATCAGATGTGTAATTATCAGAATACTCGAAGTGTAAATTATCAAGAAAAAAAGCTGCTATGACAGGCATAACTCTGCCCTCAGTGAGGTCAACCTTTGGAGCTGGGAGGCCCAGAGGAAGGACTCTGCCACCATCCCATCTCCCAACCACCATCCCATCACTGGCCTGTCCAGTGGCAGAGGAAGGAGAGATGTAGTTAGGCAGGCAGGGACAGGGTGACCTTGTGAGGTCCCCTTCGTCCTGCTCTGCTCTACCACCTCTCATTTTTGTCCAGGCACTCACTGTAGACATCTCTGAAAGCTGTAATCTGCAAAGCCCTGGGGGGCTCCACACTGTGCTGGCTGCTATTATCCCCGAGACAAAGAGGGACAGGCAGGCAGATTACCTTGGCCTTTATTTTTTCAGCTGTGAGCAAAGAAAAGCCTTAAATGAGCTTGCTGTGGGGAGGGATTGACTGGGCAGAGCCCCAAACACCCTGTGCTCCTTCCCTTCCCCAGGAGCCACGGGACCCCATTCCTCACCCCTTGTGCTGCCCCGTCATTCCCTGCTCTGGTGCAAAGCCCCAAGGAGAGACGATGTTTTGCCTCCGGACTGGGTCTTCACTGGAGCCTCTCTGCAGCACCCTCACCTTCTCAGGGCACGTAGCACCTGGGGCTGGAGTGGCCCAGGCGACCTGATGCTCGTACCCACCTTGTACCCATCACCTCTGTGCCTGGCAGTTGCATTTCCAGGCTGGAGTGGTGATGGGTTTGCATGGCCCCATCCCGCATGTCCCAGGGGCTCCTCTACATGCCTGGGACTGCATCCCCGTCCAGACTGGCCCCATGCCGAGACGGCACCGCCACAGCGAGGGGCAGGTCCCCTCCATATGGTGCCCCTGGCCGGCTCCCAGCACCAGGGCAGGTGCTCTTGTCTGGGCTACACAAAACCCTATTGTCGGCACCCGCAGGGTTTCCCTCCCTCGGCACGGACCCGCTCCAGCCCCCACCGCCCTCCTTGCTCCAGCACCACCGGGAAAACGGCTTAGCCTGGCTGGACATGGCCGCATCCTCCTCGGGGTGCAGGATGCTTTCCGTGCAGCCGGTGTCCCTCCGCGCTCCTCTCCACCTCGAGCCCTCCCGGTGCTGACAGCCACACTGGGTGGGGTTTGTCACCAGGCCGCTAAAGCGCTGATGGTTTTATGCCCGGCACTTAATTATTTCCCCGATTGCCACCGCCATGTGCTGGCGAGTGGCGCTGGCTGTGACCCCGCCGAGCCTGACGCCGCCGCTGCAGCCCGGGGAGCTGATGGCAGAAGCACGCCCCACGTGGAGTTTAATTATTGGCTTTCTTCCTTAACAGAGTACATTGGCTGACCTTAATGCAATTAATTAGGGCTTAATCAACTTCTGGTGGCTCAGCACAGCACACAGTGATTCCTGACTTTCCAGGAGGGTTTATAAGAGGTTAAAGCAGCTAAGGGGAGGGTGTGGTGTGTAGTTTGTAGGTTTGGTGGCATTGTGCTGGTGGGTAAAGCTCAGTTAGTCAAGCATTGTGGTAAGATTTATATTCTCCCTGGCTGGGCTTGATGCTGGTAAAGGCAGGTGAAGTGAACTGGACTCAAGAGCTGTGCCTGAGGTGATGCCTCTGCACAAAATTGCTTGTGTTGCTTGTTTTTGGCAGTCTCCCTGAGCTTAGGATTTCCACAGGGCTTTTCCTGTAGCTTTGCTGGGCCAGGGTTTTCCCACTTTTTGGGTGCTCTCTGCTAGTGATGAGTTGTGTCTGGGTTGTGCATCCAGCAGCTGCTGGGCTCTGAGGGTGCTGGAGGTGATGTCTGGGGAGCTCCTTCACCCCCTTGAGCAGGCATTAGAGACAAGAAGTTGTTGATCACTGACTGTTCCTGAGCAAGAGGGAGGCTCCTTCCTGTCTCTGCCCAGCAGCATTTAATAACTAACAGTGCTCATTAACACCACAGAAATCCCCAGGCACCCCTGACATGGGGCCCTGGCTCTGCATCCTCATGGTTCCTGCTGAGTGTAAGGAGCGTAAGGACTTATTTGCACACCTTGTGTCTCCAATTGCTGGATTTTACCTCTTTAAGCCAGCAGACACCTGTTGGTGTAGCTGGTGATGCAGTGCCTCATCTCTGGGCTGCTGCCTTCACCTGAGCATGAAGTGACTGAGCCTTGGCCTTGCAGAAAGCCCTAGAGAGGTGGGTGCCCTGTGCCAGTGGTGGCATCTCCTACTGTCAGCTGTGGTGATGGTGACCAGAACTGTGGCATGTCCTGCTGTGTCATCCTCACATCCTGGATGCTTTGCATCCTCCCTATGCCATTGTCCCTAGGCAGTGTCTGTCACCCCCACCCCTGTTTCTTTGGGTCCCCATGTCTCTGGCTGTCCCCTACCCCAGAGACTGTGCCACCAAGCCCCCTTGTGTGGGCAGCCCGGTACCAGGACTGGGAGGTGGCAGCAGGAGCCTTGCCAGCCACTGTTGCTGGCTTGTTTGCTTCAGTGCCAATTCATTAATATCAAAAAGCTAATTAGGATTCCACAGCCCTTCCCACTCAGCCCTCTCCTTTGGAGGCTGGAGGATACTTGTCTGCAGGATTTCCATGCAGCCCTGTGTTAAAAGGACTCAGCCCTGGTCTGTCCCAGCCCGGTGGTTTGTGCCCCTCTCTCTGCTCCCAGCTCATTCACGTGGCTAAAGCCCCTCGAAGCCTGGCAAATGGGAAGTGATATTTGCCAATAATCCCTCTGCTCTCCTGGGCAGGCTTCTCATATTACAGGTTATTAAAAAAACAAAACCCAGGCAGCAATAACTGTGGCCCCAGGGAGAGCCCGAGCACCGATTGTTCCTGGTCAAACCCCACCCAACAGGAGAGCCCCAAGGCAGAGGCAGCACAGCAAGGCCCAGCTGGATTCCATGGAGCATCTCTAGGCAGAGTATGGCTCCTGTTGCAAGTAGAAAAGGGACAAGCCTCAACCCTCTTTTCCCCTTGGGAACAAGTGGGATTCCCATGAGTCACAGACTAAATCCAATTTCTCCCCACAGAGGCTGTGGAATAAACCCTGCTCTTGCTCACCAGGGCTCCTTGACATGGTGCCACCACCCCCTGGCCTCAGCATCTTCCTCACCACTGGGCTGGGCAGGAGCAGCTCCTATGTTGGCATCTTGCAGGGACAGGACAGAGCCAGCCTCTGCAGCCAGTTTTTTGCTTTGCGGGGCTTTTGAGACTACTTGCCCAGAACTGGGGATACTGTTTCCTCTGGGACAGGGCAGCGATGCTGTTCCATTCCTCCCCTCGAGTCTTGCTTCCTCGAGGGTGGATCTGTCCCATCGGAAATTCAATCCACTAAGTATGTGTAGTTGTATTTTTCTTTCTGCAAAAAATACCAATTTCCTTGCGAGGAGTTTCACCGCAGCTTGAAACATTTCATTGCATGGGTTGGGGGTTTCCTTCTGGTTTTAAGTCAACATTTCCCCTTAAAATGTCACTCAGGGAATGATGCTTTTTTTTACAGCAAAAGTCTGTGATGACATTTTAAGTGGAGAAGAAAATTGCTGCTTCGTTTCAAAATGTCAACTTTGAGTGGGGTGGGTTTAGAGTATTTTTTTTTTATTCCAGTGTTTCCCAGGAGAAAAGGGAAACGGTTTCATTAGACTCAAGGAATTGTTGCTCCCCATGACCCCCAAAATAAATCTTTTTTTTTTTTTTTTTTTAACCTCTTTGCATTTTTGTAGCAGGGAAACTTTTGCCAAGAGAAGTCGTGCTCCCGTGGGATGCTGCCTTGGGAAGGGACAACCCTGCCACAGCCAAACTTGAGCTTTCTGTGGCAAATCCTCTGCCACCAAACTCCAGGAGAGACTCCGTTGCTGCCAGCTGGTTTTGGTTGCCACAGGAGGGATTAACAGCAGGTTAAAACCAGGTTTTGAAGCTCTCCTCTTCCTGCTTTCCCTCTGCCTTGTGCTCCTGGTTTTCCTTCACACAGCTCTCCTCGAAAATCACTTCTTCTAGATTAGGCTAGAGACTGGAGTTATCTTCCTTTTATTTATTAGGGTAATTATACCTAATGATTCACATGCTCGGGGAGAGTAATTGCTCCCAAATACAGCACCGGCAGTGTTCTTACCCAGCCGGGGTGCAGTGATTCACAAACACATCTTTTCGTACCATTTATCAAGTGATGATCCCGTAATTGCTGACTTGATTTGGAGGCAGTTAAGGAGCGATCGAGGACCAGCACCGTGTCCATTTCCCTCTGGTGTGGTGGCCATTGCATGTGTCTCCTCCCTGCCACGCTGACAGTTGTCACCACTTGCCTCCTGTGTGGGCTTTGCTGGGGATTTTGTTTGGGTCGAGCCCCTCGAGCTGCTGAGTTTGTGTTTTGTGAAGAGCTGCGGTGCCTGGTCTGGCAAATTCTGCGGCACAGCCTGGCTGGGGGAGAGCAAGGACTGTCCCTCTCCAGGGTGGGGAGGACCCCTCCATCCTCCCAAAATGTGGCAGTGATGTGGCTTGACCCTCGCCTCTTAAGAGTTCTTGAAGCAGATGGGTGAGAGCTTGTGCTGCCACAGCGAGGGGACATCTGGGGACCTTTGCCTTTGCCTCAGGACTCCTGCCCATTTACTGTGCAGGGTGGGCAGGAACATCCCATGAGGAAGGGATTATGTGCAGAGTCCACCCTGCTGAGCTGCTCCAGCCCCTGGAGAAACCTGGACACTGGGGATGGAGGGAGGTTTCTGGGAGTGTTTTGAGGAGTATTGATGTTCCCGGTGCTGCCATGAGGCTTGGAAAGGCAGCCTGAGGCTTGAAATTCTTAAGGGGAGCCCAGGGTGATGACTGGAGTGGCTCAGCCCCTCTGGTGCTGCCCAAGACAACACCATGGTACTTGGCTGGAGGCTGCTGGTCAGCTGTGCTCTCCTGGGCCATCAAAAAGAGGGTTTTTTTAGTGCTGGGTGGAGAGCACAGAGTGTATTGCTACTTTACCTTTTTTTTTTTTTTTTTTTTTTTTTAAGCTTCCCTTCTCAGTGTGTCTCTGGGCTGTATTGCATGAGCCTGCACCCACCACCCATCCCCTCCTGCCCCAGGCACTGCTTCAGGTCTCCCATCCCGTGGATGCCAGAATCGCTGCTGGGATGTGATCAGAAAGGCAGGAGAAGAGGAGGTGGCACAAACAGCCCTTTCTGCTGGCCACCACTTGGCTTTATCCCCAGCACTGCTTGGGTGGGCTCCTGAGGGAGCCTGCCCTGGTTGTCCCCCACCCCCAAAATGTGGGGCTGTGCCAGTGCCTCTCAGTAGGCGTTCACTGGAGTAATAGCTCCCTGGTTTCATTCCACCCACATCCACCTCCTTAGTAGAGTATCTGCGCTCATTCTCGCTGGTGCCTGGCCCCCTGTCAAGAGCTCCTGCAGGCAGCCAGGAGCTGCTCCTAATGGGCTGCCAGGGGATTTGGACTCTGACAGCTGGGTGCTGACAGCTCCCTGCCACTGCTCACTTCACCTGCTGGGCTCTCCTCTCCACAGTCAGATGGAGAAGGATGCTCCAACCTCCCTAAGGAGGAGGCTGGCTCCTCTTTCTCCCATTGCCTTGGTAGGGATGATGGTGCAAGCAGAGGGTCCCCAGGATGGAGGAACCCCTGCAGGGTGATGTTCCAGGATGGGGACTGGGAGAGGGGAGGAGGTCTGGATGTACCACAGGGTACATGACAAGTCTTGTCACAGCTCCCAGCAGGGAGTTGGGGCAGGGGACCATTGCTAGCTGGAAGAAAGTGCTGACACCTCCTGGGGCTGCTTTTCCAGCAGCTCTGGGGCCTCCCATGCTTTCCCCTGGCTGACACATTGCCTCTCTTCTCTGTTTGATGCAGGGCTCCTCTGTCTCCCCACAGACCCTGTGTAGGGGCTGGTGGGTGCTCCTGGGGGCTCCCGAGGGCCCAGCTCCATTCCAGCGGGGGCCGTGGCAGCTACTCCAGAGGGACTGTCCCATTGCCCCACCAGCATGGAGCAACTCTCAGCCTGCTGTCTTGTATGGCTTTTTATTCCTATGTGATTATACATCCCACTTCATATAGGGATTGAAGCCGTGCAATACGCCGGGGTCCTACGGCGGAGAGCAGCTCCTGTGCCCCGGGAGCCAGCCTCGGAGAAGCCTCCAGAGCTGTCCCTTGGGGTGCTGGAGGAAGACTGCTGGCCTCAGCCTGGACTCTGTCCTGCATGCCAGGCTACCCAGCCCTCTGGGGCTGCAGGTGAGGGGTGCCAAGCTACTCAGGATGAGGCCAGCACAAGCCCACTCCTCCTTGCATTGCACCCTCTTGCAAAGGTGGGCCTGGTTCTGCACCACATGTGCTGTGGAGAGCCCTGATAACTGCACTGGTGGGCTCATCCCTGGGGAATCTGCTGCTTGGGTTTTGCCCCTCAGTATCCCAGGAGATGGGTGACAACCTCTGGGTGCAGGCACTCAAGGAGGCACTGCTGGCAGGACAGGGGAGGAGAAAGAGGAAGAAGAGGAAAAAAGAGCTGAGGAATGGCCACCGCAGCAAGGGCTGCCCCACGCACGACTCTCTTCAAAGTTTCTCAAGGGGCTTCAGCCACTCTTTCAAGGTTTGCATTAAATCTGTCACATTAGCGAAAATAGTGAAAATTGTGGCTTGTAGAGGAGATGAAAGGCAGCCCCTTCCAATGCCTCCATAAAGGAAGGGCCCCATTAACACCTAGTGAAATATTAGCCATTAATCAGGCTCTGTGCAAAATAAAACCATCCACATTTATCATTATTGGATCCCTAATGAAGTGATAATGGGAATTCTGGGGAGCTGTGATATTAATGTCTTCTAAGAGGCAAGAGCAGAGCCAAGGGTGGCAGCCAAGATTTTTAATTTACTGCCAAAAGCTCGTGCTGTTAATAACGCAGTTACTTCTCCTGGCCATTAGCACTGTTTGGCTACGAGCTGCCAGCTTAGGAGAGCAAATCGACCCTGAACGTACCTGGGCTTTGCTCACCCACTTCCCAAACAGCATCTGAGTGTGTTTCTTCCAGTGACTGTCCAGTGTCATGACCAGGGAGCTGTTGGCCGTCTCCACCCAGCTCTTTCCTGGAGGTTGGCTAGTGTAGAAAGTTTTGCTTTTCTGATAGAAAGGGAAGGGACTGTGTGTAAAACCCAAGTGGCTCTTATTGTCCTCACTGTCTCTGTGACTCGTTGCCTTAGGCAGAAGCACCCTGGAGCCAGGATGGCATGGAGGCTGCTTCCAGCACACCCTGCACACTGGGATCACTGGGTGTGACCACGGCTGCACTTTGGGTTCCTTCACTTGCCCGGGTTCACTCCCACAATGCCAATATCCCATCCAGGCCAGCGTGGGCAAGCTGCAAAGCCCTGCTCCGCTGTGGTGACTCACTCAAGCTCCCAATGGGAAAGTCATCGTTCCTGGCAGACCCTGACAGCCCAGAGGCAAATCGTTACTAGGCAGGTAAGCAATGCTCTTGTGTCTTAGGATACAACTGTTAGCTGACAAATCCTGCTGAACCTGACCAGTGTGCCCCAAATGTATGCTGGCTCATGCGTGGTGCCTTTTGCTGTCTGTGAAGGGACTGCAGGTCAGAGGGAGCTGGCTTTGGGCTGGAGCAGGAACAGACAATTTCCTGCTGAGCACTGTCCAGAGGAATAAAACAGTGCTTTGTCTGTGATGGATGGCCAAACTCCAATGCTCCTTTTGTCCCTAGGTAGAAGGTCCACCCAAGCAACCCCTTGGAAATGCAGCTTTGAGCTGTTCAGGTAGAAGCATCAGAGAAGTATTTCTGTAGCCTGGGTATCTTTAGTGAACCTCTCCCTATCCTGTTATCTCCTCACTAGGAAAGAAAGGACAAGAACAAAACCCATATATGGAGGCCAAGCAAAGGTAGATGTGAATTGTACTTCAAACAGCTCCATCCTTTCAACAAACCTTTTATTAGCCTTCTCTCCTCTCCAACACACACTCTTTAATTGTTAGTGAAAAGCCCCCATTCAGAAAGCAAGGACACTGCTCAGGGTATCTGGGGTAGGCATTTCCCAGGAGAAGCCAGCTAGCACTAGCCCAAGGTCTTCTGAATTTGGCTGCAGCTCCAAGGGCCAGCATGGTGCTCAGCAGTGTGCCAGACCTGTGGGCAGGGAGTTATAGTGGGCCTGTGGCACACTGGACCTGCTGCTCAAAGTGCCAGTGACCCTTCTGCCAGGCACTCCAGCCTGAAACCAGAGTCACTCTGCATTCCACTGGAGCAGAACTGACCAGGAAGCATTCCCAGCACGGTGGAGCCAGCTTTAGCCAGTTATCCTGGCTGCAGCCCACACTTGTGGCTGTATCTCCGTGTGTTGGTGCCCCTGTGGAGCTGGCCTGCTGGGCATGGAGCAGGCGACCTGCCAGCGACCTCCAGAGAAAAGCACCCGGCACAAAGCAGCTTCTCCTGCACAACCACCCCCTGACATTACGGGGGCACAGAGAGCTTTATAACACTTGGCAGACTTTCCCCAGCAGATCTTGGAGCTGTTTGCCAGTGTGAGCAAGTTCAGGCATGTTACAGAAGACCTTCAGACTCTGAGGACAAATGAGATGCGTGGATGGGTTTAAACCATCCCGGGCAAGACTAGGGTTTTGAAATCCCCAGGCTTGTGCCTTACACTGTGCCTGGGCCGTGGCCCAGACAGTCCAGCTGCCAGCCTGGCATTGATACTGGGCCCCTGTGATGGTCCTGCTGATATCCCTACTTGTTAGATATTGGCTTCAAAACCAAAATAGGAGGTGTTGTGTCCTCCTCAAAAATCCACTCTCCAATCCAGGTGGGTGCAGAACGACTGCTCAGTGAGATACACCACGACTCACGGTGTTGGCACAACAGTGTGTTTGTGTCACGAGATGAGATCAGCCACACGGAGTAGGTCGGTCTGTCTGGAAAGAGTCTGAGTCAAGCGTGTCCTATTACATTAGAGCTGGATTTTCAAAGGAGCTCAGCTCTCACTTAGGCTCTGTAACAAACAGCCGGATATTCAAAAGGAGTCGGACGTGCTGGGTCATACTGGCTGCTGAGCTGAAGTCCTTTGAATATCCAGCCAAAACCATCAACGTGCCTGTTGCTACAGGCAAAGCCCTTCTGAAATCCAGCCTCGCTGTGGGCTGCACATCCTGGGAAACCCGGCTCATCTCTGCTCTCCCACATATCGCACTGCAGTAGGTGACAAAACCATGGTAAACCACCGTGTCCTTGTACATGTGGGGGAAGCAGCTCCCTGTCAGAGCACAGCTCTGGCAGCTTTGCCCTTTGATCAGCTCAGCAGCATGGGTCAGGAGAGCTGAGCGTGAAGGTTTCCTTGCCTTTTGTTCTGTGGAATTAGCAGAGTTAATCAGAGTGACAGCGACTTCTGCCTCAGCGCAGAAGAAAGGTCAGTGGCTCAGGCTGGATGCACGACTGTTTTCTAGGCAGTTGGAAAACAACGCTATGAAAGCTCATAGCATACATGCTGCTGGCACGGAGGCTCTCCCAACAGGGATCAGAAGGGAAGATGTTCCTGTGGAGGAAGGAGGCTGGAAGAGCCACTGCACTTCGTTCATCCCCTTCCTTATGCTGTGCAGTGAAGGTATGGAACCCTCTGTGTCACTGTGCACTGCCTGTGTCACCCATCCAGCATCTCTGCCACTGTGCTCCTTAGCCACACTCCCGGGTTTGCATCATGCTGGGCTTAGGGTCTCTGTGTCACCTCAGTACCCTGGTATGGGAGGAGCTGCAGGGCACTGTGCTGGCACATGGAGTGGGTGCTGGGTGTCCCCACCACATCCCTCCGGCACCTCCATGCTTTGGGTGAGCAGGCCTTGCTGTTACTGTTTTTATATCCTTCAGTCGCTGATATTGCAGTGCATTGATATGCACTGATATTCTGTGAACCTGCAAAAACTCCCTGCTCAGCAGGTCTTGAGCTGGGGTCACTGGAGGTGCAACAGTGCAGTGAGGGCTCTCCCTGGCAGCCCTGCCATGGCCTCAACTTCCCCACATCTATTAACTAGAGTTGAAGCACGTGAAGTCTTCAACTTCACTTGAAGTCACAAGCATCTTAAATCCAGCTTCCTTGTCTGCAGTGTGACCTCTTACCTTTTTCTGATCCCCCCAATTGCAAGTGCTTGCTTTTGCTGTGGACATCCACTCATGTGTCTAATTAGTGAATTCTTTCTGTCAAAGATACCAGCACCTTCGACAGTGAGCCCTAATTTAAGTAGTTTGCATTTGTCTGCAGTGTCGATGCTTTCATTTGCTCCTGGTTCTAATTAAGCGCATCTGGATATCTGCAGAGGGAGCTCTCATGATCTCTCCATGGCTCTAATTAAAATGGCCTGGATGTCCATGACATTGGTGCCGGTCAAGCCTGTCACCAGGAGGTGATGCCCACCTTGGAACTGGCTGAAGAAGGTGTAGGAGTCATTGTTCCTGAGAAAGGCCTCCACGTCCAGGCCCTCCTGAAGCGCCTCAGCCACCAGCCCTGGGCTGCAGAAGGCTCCCGCTGCCTCCGTCGGCCCATCCTGCCCATCCGTTCCCCCGCTGAAGAAGATGATCTCACACCTCCCTTGGGGGCTGCTGCCTTCCGTGGCCTGTGCCCTGTGCAGCCCCAGCCCCACGCGCAGGGCCAGCTCCTGGTTCCTCCCTCCCTTGCCGCTTCCTTGGAGCTGGACTGTGGTTTCTCCGCCGGCCAGGATGCAGACTGGTCTTTCAGGCCCTAATCCTCGCACGGCCTGCAGAAACTGTGCAAGGTCCAAACCTGGGATCTCCAGCTCTGCCACCAGCTGCAGGAGATCGCCCCTCACCTCAGCACTGAGGGGCCCTTCTGCGAGGCCGGCGAGGCCCAGGCAGACCAGGCGGATCAGCTGGCAGTACAGCGTGGCGACACGGCCGACTTCCCCACGGATGGCCGCACTCAGAACCAGAGCAGCGTAGCCCAGGCCCTCAGCGTGGCGTTTGGCCTCGTCTAAAGCCAGTGTATTTGAGCCAATGATGATGTTGGAAACATGGGAGTAGTTTTCTGGAGCAGTGGGCTTGTTGGGAGAACTGGAGAGGACTGTTTCCACTGACTTGGGCAGGTTGTGCAGCAGGTTGTATTTGGCAAGTACCTGAAGGCAGTCTTGGACACTGTGGGAGCTGGCAGCAGTGGGCCCACTTGCTATGATATCCAGGGGGTCACCAATCACATCAGACAGGATGAGACTCACCACCTATGGAAAGAAATGCCCACAGATTATTGAAGGAGGCAGAGACAGTGACCACACAAGAGCCCTGGCACAAGTATTGCTCTGAGTTACACTTGCACCACCCCCGCACGAAAGCAGATGGAAACAGGGCAGGGAATTTTTGTTTTATGGTTCTATGAGTGTCACCTTGCCCTTCTTGAACCCACATACCTACAGTCCCCTTTGATGCTGGACTATCACTTTGGAAGATGTAACCTGTGACACTGCACTTCTCAGGCCCAACCTAGTGTGAGTTCAGCAATGGCACATGCTGAGGACAGCCCCCAGGGGAGCCAAGGATCAGAACCAGCCTTGAAGGCACTGTGGTGAAGCACCAGCACTTGGAAGTGCCTGCTGGGTGTGGGCTGGGGTGTGCTGCAAGTGGTATGATGATGGCTGATGATTGCCAAGCCTGAATTCCCCCTGTTCCACTTCTGTCTCTCTGAGAGTTTGGGTCCTCAGTGGAATCTCAGCTAGAGAGTCCCAAAACAGTATGCAAAGGTACAAAGGTTGTTCACTTAGTAAAGAAAAAGCCCTGCAGCATGCTTAAGTAAGATGACTGAACCTCTACTTTGGGGGTAGATGGGTGATCTGTGGGCAAGCAGGGCCTTCCCCGTGGTTACCCGTGCAGGATATGCAAGCTGGGCCAGCCCTCCACCCTTCAGCACAGACAGAGTCTTCCGGACAATGTTCAGCTCCTGTATGGCAGCTCCTCGGGAAGCCAGCGTCTTTGTGAGTTTCTCCTTCTCTTTGAGGAGGATGGGAGGGATGGGAGCAGGCAGCAGGGCTGATCCACCCCCTAGGATACAGAAGAGATGGCAAGGACATCAGGATAGCAGGAAAAGGAGGACGGAAGAGAGCAAGGCTTGAACCTTTCCTCTTCCCTCACTAGTGTGAGGAGGGAAGGCAATTGGAAACCTAAGCTAACATCTCTGGAGAATTCAGTCTTCACCAATGGGCTTTAATCACTGCTGTTCTGCACTCTCTGCAGTCTGCTACACTTCACCTGGCAGTGCAAACCTTGCCAGACCAGGATACCACATGCCTCCAGTGTTGTGGGGATGACAGAAAGGGGACAGCGACTACTTTCACCACTACTCTGGGCTACCAGTGTGTCATCACACTGATATTCGCCTGGAGGGGTGAGCAGGGAGCACAGCCTCCATGGCTCACACAGCAGTCAGTGCTATGCACATGGAGACACTGCCTGCTTTGGTGGCTCCATTTATTCAGGACACTGAGTTAAAAAAAATGAACAAAAAAACCCCCGCCAACTATGGATGCAGCAAGACTGGAAACTCCTGAACTGTGCTCATCTAGGTCTGGGAGGAAAGGAAGGGGGAAGACAGTAATGCAAAGGACAAAGCACACCCTGAGTCCAGGGGTCCAGCCTCATCAGTGGGAATCCTGTCTGATACAAGCAGGCATTGGAAAGATGGAAAAGAAGGCAAGGTTCTAATGGAAAAGTGGATGAAAAATCCAGAGGAGAAAAGAGCAAGATCTGAGCAGAGTGAACATGCACAGAAGTACAGCTGAAAGCTACTGTCAAAAGGCAAAGCCTGCTCAGAGGTTTGAGACAAATCAGCATCAATAAAACATGATGAGCAAGAAAAACAAATGCAAATGCCTGTGTTTCAGTCAATAGCCAGGGATCTAGCTGAGAGGCAGGAGCAGTTGGGGACCGGCTGCTGTGTGGGAGTGCACATGCATAGGGAGTCACAGCCACGGGAAGATCCTGTACAGGCTCCCTGAAGGGCTGAGGAGTCTCTTGGAGATCCCTGTAGCCAGAAGACAGGAGGAAGCCCAGGGGAATCCCCAGCAAGCACAGCTAGATTCCAGTCACTTGGATGTTTGCCTAAAGGCACTACTCTCTCTGTACCAGATCAGGCTTCAGCATCCACAGAGGAATAAACACTGAACAGAGGAGGCCAAGGGGTTTCTGCAGAGCCCCTGCATGCTTTTGTCCTGTGACACCCACAGCCAGCTGAGCTCAGGCTGGGGTGATGTCAGTGCATCCCTCTGATGCCCCATATCCACTGTCCTCACACAGCCCTGGGTCTGGGGACAGCCCCAGGGCCCAGCAGCCAGGGCCTGGAGGTGAGCAGGACTGACCCTGCAGGCAGGCAGCTTGCTGTGCTGGTACCTGGAGGCTGAATTTCCACTGGTTGGGAAGCAGCCAAGCCCTGGGAAGGGTCAGTCACAAATCTCAGCTTACAGATTCACACCCCTGCAAAAGTTTAGTGTGTAAGTCCACTAAGTGCTTGCATCTCGAAGTTTGCATCCCCAAATGTAAGGAGGGGGAAGGAAGAAAGCATCTCCTTGCCAAGAGGTGAGAACAGAGCCCAGGCTGTGCCCAGAGGTGCCATCTCACTGTGGTGGCACAACCACAGGACCCAGCCTGTGCAGCTCAGGATCTCCCCAGTGCTGGGAGGCAGTGTGTCCACCGCAGCAGCAGGAAGCCCTGTGCTCTCCCTTGCTCCATCCCTTGAGAAAGGATGGTAGAAGGGAGAGGAAAAATCACAGAGGTACAAGGGTGCATGCTGAAAGGGCTGGCACAGCACAGCGTTCCCTTGCTGCACGGCCACGGACGGCCTCAGGAGATCCCATTCCCCGGGATCCCCACACTACCTGAGATAAGCACAAGGAGCAGATCATCCGCAGTCAGACCCTCAGCCAGCTGCTGTATGGCAACAGCTCCCTTCAGAGCCTCTGCATCTGGGAGGTTGTTCTTGGCACCTTCAATGACCTGGATTTTGCTGTGTGGCTTCAGCAGCATCTCCCTGGTGAGATAAGAGAGGCAGTCACGCCACTGACCTGTGCACCTACACAGGCAGCCAGGCTGTCACTCTGCAGGTGCCTGGTGCACCAGTGGTGTACAGCAAGTGACCAGGACAGGGAGATGGCCTTTGCTGAGTGTCTCTTCCCAGGGCTGGAGAGGCAGCACATCCAGCACAAGAGATGGGCTCTGTTACTGGTGCCACTGGGATGTGATGGTGGTTGAAGATGAGAGCAGTGGGTTGGATGGGATGGGTAGTAGAGTGAGGGCAGCTGGAAAGGACTGAAGGGGTTCACAGGACATCCCACAGAGGACTTTTCTGGCAGCCTACCCCCACCTCCAAAACTGTCCAGAAACAGTTCTCCTTACTGCATTCCTGCTCGCTGCAGACTCTCCTGGATGCCGAGTGGCACATTGATGACCCCACGGACGAGGTGGTCTCCCAGGATCTCTTCTGCTGCTGCAGCCATCCCCAGCACAGCTTTTCCGAAACCCACCAGGTAGAGGCCTCTCTTCACTGGAAAGGTCTGGCCCTTCACCAGCAGCTGAGGGCACCCATTCCCCTGGAGTTTCAGAGCCCTCTTCATCATTGGGGCTGGGCGCACGGTGCCCACCGCGCTGCGGAACAGGGACAGTGCGTGCTCACGGAGGGACATTCTGCACAGGGAGGCCAGGCTGGGCCAGTCTGTGCTCTGGGGTGGGCTTGTACACACCCTGCCAGCACTGGCAAGGCCTCCAGAGCTGGGGCAGCTGAAGCCTCCAACCTGCAAGGGAAAGTGAACATTTTTGCAAGCAGAAGAGACAGAGCTGTCACAGAGAGAGCAGGGAGGTCAAAACATGAACCATGAAGCTCTGGCTCCTGTTTCCTCTAGATTAAGGTGCCTTATGAACAGCATTTTCAAACTTCTCGCCAGGCAGGAAGGAGGGAAGGACACTGTCACATTCAAACTACCTGTCAGCTTGTGATTCCCCTGCAATCCCATCACCTCCCGCAGGGAAGGTGAGCTCTGCCAGCCAGCTTCCCTATCACTGTCGCTTTGCCACTGGCAAGCCATCATTTCTATTTGCTCAGCGTTTGACACCTTTCCAAACTGTGGAAGCTGCTCTCTGTCCTGGAGAGAGCAGGGCATCTGGGTGGAACAGCTTTTCACTACATTAACTCCCTTCCTTGTGCTGGCCAAATGCTGATCTCATTCTCTGGCTGTGCAGTGCCCCATGTGTCCCTGCAGCATCAGACATGGACTGAAGAGAAACAACATACTTGCTGGCTGCCTGATCCCTTGCTGCTGGTGGCCACAGAGACCAGTAATGAGGTTTCCTCACCAAACAGCAAATTAACACAAGGCTTCATTTGCCTTTATGTTTTAGTCCTCTCATTATCCATTAAAATCACATTTAGAGCCCAAATAAGACTTCAGATCAAGGCAAAGTTACCAGCCGTGTCTGTGAAAGCCCATTTGAGCTGGTCTCCACTGAGCATTAGCATTATATGCAACAGCTTTGTGCATGGACCGAAAGATCTCAGCTGCTCAAGGGCAGATACTTGTCTTGACAGAGGAAAGGCAGCCCCTGCCAGCACAGAGGCATCTATTCCCTCCCAGCATTTCTCCTTCCTTCTGTTAACTGGCAGCAAGTTCACTGCCGGTTTCTCAGGATCAAAGATCCCTGTGATCTGCATCCCTCCTGCTCTCGGCAATCGAGGCAGGGTGCCAGGAGGCTCAAGCAGCTCGGGCAACACACTCAATCACAGACCCAATCAAATTACCTGAGAGAGTTAATCCTCTCTCTAGTAAGTGGAGTGTTTCAGTGCAAGTGGATGGATTCTTCTGTGAGAGCTCAGGAGTCCAGAGGTCTCTTTGTCCTGACACTCCCATAGCATTGCAAGGTGTTAATGATTAAGCCAGACAAGCTTTCCAACAGCTAAAGGCCTAAATCTGCCTTATTTTGCTGTACAAACCCAAAGGCTCTACACACACACACAAAAAACCCTACACAAGCACCTTCTCAGGCAATGAAATGTGGGTAGACTCTGAAATCTATTGAACAAGGGACTTGCAGGTAAAGCTATATGGAGAATCAAAGGTTAGTCAGGGAAAGAAACCTAAGAATCACTGAATTTGGAAAAGACCCTTAAGATCAAGTCTAAGCATAAATTATTTAATACTTAGGAGAACACATTTTAAAGGCAAAAGCCAAGGCAGATTAACTACCTATCTGTACTCTCTTCAGATACTGGTCAGAAGGACTGCCTTTTCAACCGTGAGGAGAGAAGATATTAAAAGACAGGGCGTCCTGACCACTTTGTTACTAGACTTTTAAACTTCAGGGCAGCTGATGCTGCCAGCAGAGTAAACCACTGACCCCTCTTCAGGGAGGGCCACGGTGACTGTGCTGCTCGAAGTGAAGTCAGCTGTGTACCTCTCAGGAACTGAGATTAGCATCTCTGTTCCCAGCAGGTCTCTGATTCACCTGGCAGCACAGTGCAGTCAGAGGAAGGTGTTACAAAGCAGAGGTGCATCACGCCCCAGGTCACCTCCCCTAAGCTGCGACACAGGGTTTGCAGAAGCGGCTGGAGAACAAGGCTTAAATGGAGTCAGGGGAATTGCAGGAAATAAAGCCCCAGAGTTTTTAAGAGGCTCTGTCTCTGCCTTAATGTTTCTTTGCATGGCTGACCCTGAGGACTGGGGGAATTGAGCACAACCAGACCTGCAACAGTGGCTCCTCTCACACGTGCCCTCCTGGCGGCTCCGTTCAGCTCCAGCTCCAGACACGGCACAGCAGGCGTGAGTTGTTTAAGAGAAATCCTCTCCTCCTGGAGCTGGAAAAAATAAATGCCAGCTTAATTCATCTGGCACTTGTGTACATACTGCTAATGCTTGCTCTGGAAAGCATTTCACTACAATAGCAGGCATGTAATCTGTTTTCTGCACTCTGAACTCAGATTATATTTTAACCATCGAGGCCTGATCCGGAGCCTGGTGAAGTCAGCAAGCCGTCTTTCCTTTGCTTCTCGGGATTTTAGGGCACACTGCCTGGCACTGATCTCAGAGCCCAGGTGTAAATACAGAGTAAATATGGTGTAAAAACCTGCTTGCAATCAGAGGTTATCCAAGTTTATACCAGTGCAACAGAGAGCTGAATTTGGCACAGATCCATGAGCTTTGGATGTCTCAGTGTGTAACTCTGCTCCTTGTCAGCTCTGATTAGACACGCAGGCTCACTGGAGGCTCCCCTTGGAATGGGGGTGCTGCTAATGATGCCACAAATCCATTTTTATGTAATTTATTTATATAGTCTCAGGCACTGGGTACTAAATGTCATCAGGAAACAGCTATAAATCAGTGCTATGAAATCCAATATAGATATTAACAAAAAATAAATAAATAAAACTCCTACTCACTTTACTGGGGCTTTAAAAACAAGATCAGGAGGACTGAACATCACCCCAAAATGCAGGCAGTCATGGAAAGAAAAATAACCCATATGGCAGCTTCTAGGCTCCCTCCAGAGATGGTGGGTTTAGAAATGATGTCAGCTGCTGCACATTGCACGTGGGGAAATTACACCCTCACATCCCTGTGTTTCCCTCTTCCCACTGCTGGCTGGGAGGAATCTGGGCTGAGAGAAGGGGCTGATGATGTGACTCATATTGCTTCATGCACTGATCTTTGTTTCCTACTTTCTCAGGGAAATCACACAGGGATGAATGAGCCCTCTTCTATATGGATATAAGGTGACATGCTACAGGATGAGTGGGGCTCAGGTTTCACACCTTCCCTTTGTCCCTGTTTGGGATAATATGGAGTCGGGATAGTCGTCTGAAAAGATTTCCAGAAGTTTGCACTAAGCTTAGGAGGAAAATGATGCTAAGAATTACCTGTTCCAAAGACAGCTGGAGGACTGTAAGGGGTTTAGATTAATCCCCTTTAAATGAAAACTTCCTCAGCTTTCATTGATGAATAATCTACACACTTATAATAAATCTACACACAGCATTATAAGCTCTTTCTTCACAGGGCTCCTCCTAAGCCTGCAGAAATTTCCACTGTTAGCTCTCACACCGAAAAGCAGCGAAACCCCAGCTTCTTATTTTCACCTTCTCTGGGAAAGAGGGAGGGAGAGGAGCTGGACTGTGATAAAATACAGGCAAAACACTCGTTTGCATTACCTTTTATTAACTTTTTAATTAAAGCAATTCTGCAGGCAAAGAGCCAAAGTCAGAGGGAGACAGAAACAATCCAGCAGTAGGGGCAGAAATGTAGTAAAGCTGCCAAGTAAATTGGATGGTGGCAGGAGACCAAAAGCACGGACATAGTGGGGCAGAGCCTGAGCCATAAACTTGGAGTCACACTGGGGAGGAAAACAGTGAACAAATGAGCTGGCCATGCCCATGCAGCGAGAAAAATGAGCTAACACCTCACTCCATGGCAGCTGCTTGAAAGCCAGAAAAATATTCCTTTCTAGGGGCCAGTCTGCCATCACTGGGCAGAGCTGAGCTACTCCAGGTGCCGTGGATGGGGGTTTGTTCAAGGATTTGCATCATGGGCTTGTGGTTTTCTTGAAGTCGGGGTAATTGAGCTTGTTGCAGGCCAACCCAACCACAGACACATCCCGAGCATTTCAGGTGCTGCGAGATCAGAGGATGCTGTATATTCATGCACCAGAATGTCTAATTCAGCTGAGATCGTCAGGGGCCTAAATTAGTTTCGTTTTAATGTCATTGGGATGTCTCTGGATTTCCCCTGGTGTGGCGGGGATTGGTGGCTGGCCCACCGTGTACGGGGTCAACTCCAAAATTCCTGAGGGGCTTGGAAAACATTTGAGATGGCACTGGCTCAAACCCCAGTTGCCTGAGGATAATTTTGAGCTCGAGCTCTAAAAGACAGATTACAGCAGTAAACTCCCAGACACAGCAAGTTTTAGCAGCGTCTCTTTGCTCCTCGTTTTTCTTGCTGCATGACTTTCTTCTGGCCCCTCGGTACGTAAATTAACATTAGACTCACTGAGTCTCAGTGCTCCCATTTCTCCTGCATCACCAGGGGAGTTTACCTATGAAGTACAGCGGAGCTGGGATTTTACTGCCTCAAACTCCCCTGCTCCCACTTACTGACACATCTTTTTTATCGTTTGATATATCAACTTTAATTTGCCTGGTGAAACTCAAACTCGCTGCTCCGCACGGTCCCAAAAGCATTACGAGGAAATTTTTCCAGGAGATGCGCTGAACCCAGGAGGGAAACAAAGCGGGGAAGGCTTGTTCCAAGTGTCTATTCTGGGAGGATTAGATGGGGGATTTTTCGAGACTAATCTCTTTAAATGAAAATTTCAGAATTTGATTAATTTTTTAATCTGCACATGGATTTGCATAAAATTACTGCACTGCCTCATTCACATTTGGTAATGAAACATCTCTGCAGGAAGGATGGGCAGCTGTGAAGGGTCCAGTGCACGAGTGGCTTGCAGGGACTGGGTGAAAGGCCCTGTGCAGTGCTCCCGGGAAAAGCACTGGGAAAGAGGATGAAGGAGGACAGAAGCAGTATGATGAGACCAGAGGGCTTGCCAGGCAGGCAAGGGAGAAAGCAGGATGGAGCCTGGATACCTTTGTTTCGAGAATATGCTGAGCTCTGGGAAACCCAGGAGTCCCAGTTTCCGATACATGGCTTTCTATATGTTTGTTGGAGAAGAAATATGTTGCTCTCATGACTGATTTACTCATCAGGAAAGTGTCAGCAGGGTCTCTTTGCCTTTGATGGAGAACGTGGCTTAAGGCCAAGCACAGGGAAGATAAGTGTTCAGCATTTTATATATACAGATCAGTATGATTAGTAAAAAAAATTAACTGGATTTGACACATGCATCTTACTAGTTTTTCTAGGTCACACTCCCTTCACTCCCTATATACCTTTTGGAAGTGATTTTCCCATGCACTGGGGATTGCAAGGAAGAAAATTTTTTCACTAAAAATCCTTCTGTAGCTCAACACAGAACACAACTACCCTGGAGCCAAGTCCATGCCAAGTCTACTTCCTTTCATGCTGTAATTTCTCAAACTCCCTATTCTGAGTCAACTTGCCATCAAAGTTGAGAGTCGTTTAAAATACAGGGAAGGATCATAGTATTCTAGAGAAGATGAAAAGCTGCCAGCCTTGAGGACTGGAACAGTAGAAAGGGGTTGAAATTCAGTGCTGCGAAATACAAGGTCACGCTCTTTGGGATTAATAGCAGAAAATTATGAGCTCCTCAGTTGGAAATAACATAAGAGGAGAAAGAGCCGGGAATCTTAATCAGTCACAGGATGACAATTACAGCTGCCCTCTGGGCTGAGACAAGAGGCTGTGGGGAATGTGGAAAGCAGCAGATGTGAACTGCCTGGACTTCAGTGAGGCTTTTGACATCATTCCCGTGAGCACACTGAAGTGTGGGCTGGGCAAACACAGTCAGACCTGTGGGAAACCAGCCTGACCACTGGGCTCAGAGGGCAGGAACCAGTGGCCTGGGGTCCAGCTGACAGCTGGTAATCAACAGGGAATCTTTTGGAGTTCATCTCACCCCAGGGCTTCATCAGTGACCTGGAGGGTAGCACAAAGTGCTTTATTTGGGGAAGTGCTGATGGAGGCACCTTCCAGAGGAACCGTAATAAACTCAAGGTCAGAACCCACAGAAACCTCAGGACACTCAGCAAGGAGAAGTGTGAATTTTTGCTGCTGAGCAAGCACAAGTCCTTGTACTGTGCAGGTTCCAGTGGTATGGAACACAGAAATGCATAGGTAGAATAACTGCATGTGATTGATATCACTCAAGCAGCAATTAAACATTTTTTCCATTAACTAATTTTACAGGGGCATTATCCATGATCCCTACTTAATATGACATTTTGCTAGGAGATCCAATTATCCTGCCAGCTAAATTCCAGCTTGGTATAAACTGACAAACTAAGTTCCAACGATTAGGAAGAAAGGCAGGAGAATAAAAAGGAAGTGACAAAATATCAAATCAACAACCCACGGTGTTATACAACTGTAAAACTTAGCTAAGTATTGTAGGTGTTTTGAAGTAAATTGTCTTATGATGGTATTGGTGAGTCACCTCCGGGGCCCACAGGAGATAATCCAGGCTTTGATCCTGCAATTTACAGCGTGCAGGGCATGGCACCCCGAGCCTCTCTAAAACCTCTCATCACACAGAAATAAGTGGTAGGTTTTGAACAGAGCTGAACAAAGGGGCAGCTGAACCCGAGAGCCTCAGGAGTAATGAAGGCATTTTGTTGAGTCTCCCTGGGCTCCAGTGTGAAAACCTTGCCTCTGTTTCAAAGGAAAAACAGGTGAATCATTCAGAGGAGCCAATCCCACTGCGGTGAGAGAGGATGAGCCGGGTGAGATCTCTCAACCTGCAAGGGTGACCTCCAGCAAACAAACGGCGAGGGGAAGGAACCTGGGGAAAGACTTTTGTCTCACTAAAGCCACACAAAATGATTCAGCCTGTTCGAAAGGCCTGCAGGCAGAGCTTCAACAACAGCTCCTGGACTTGCTGAGGTTTGACCACAGGAGGGCAACAGGATCCAAACACAAAATCAAACCCTGTTCTGGAGGCTGTGAAAGGAACATGCAGTTAACGTTTAGGGAAGTGTCTATGGCTTGGTTGTTGTTTTTTTCTTTTTTTCCTTTTTGATTCTGAGTTTCTGGGGGACCGAAATGCCAAGATCTGGTGGTGTTCTGAATTTAAAATAGCAGAAATCTTTGAGGTGTATGTGTGGGAGAATCTCACAGCTGCCGTTATACTCCAGGAATAACTTTTTAAGGTAAGAAACACACGAAAACACGAACACAGAGCCTGACATCAGGATTCACGACAAAAAAAGGTGTGTGCATTGGAGCAGCAGCCTCAAAAGCCACACAGTGTCTTTCTCAAAGGCTTAAGCGTGTCCTGCACACCTTTACCCCATGTCTCACACGGTTCAGGATCACAATGCTGTAGCCGCGTTGATCCTGTAATACTGCTTGGAAGGTTTTAGAGGAATAAAAGAATACTGGGAAATGAAAATGTGCATTAACTGGACTGAAAATAGCATGGGGGAAGGATAAGAGTGTAATCAAGGTGTATTCCAGAGGAGGGCACGGACACACGGGGTGCTCCCTGCACAGGGAGGAAGGAGTCTGGCCCCAGGCTGTGCAAAGGCGGCTCCTGCCGGGCCCCATCCGTGATTTCACAGAACCACAGAATCAATTAGGTTGGAAAAGACACTCGAGACCATCCAGTCCGCCTGTGACCTCCTGTCAACCGGACCAGAGCACTGAGTGCCACGTCCAGTCTTTCCTTAAACACCCCCAGGGACGGTGACTCCACCACCCCCTGGGCAGCCACTCCAATGCCTGATCACCCTCTCTGTGAAGAAATTCTTCCCAATGTCCAACCCGAGCCTCCCCTGTGTCCTCTCGTTCCGTCGCTGGTTGCCTGGAGGAGAGCGCGGCCCCCACCTGGCTACACCCCTCTGTCAGGAAGCTGCAGAGAGTGAAAAAGTCCCCCCTGAGCCCCCCCGGCTCCCTCAGCCGCTGCCGATGAGCCCATCCCTCCCTCATTCCCGAGGGAAGCGCGGGAAAACTCCAGCCCCGACAGGGATGGCCCGGCGGGCGGGGCTGCCCCGGGCCCCGCCCCGCGACGGAAGTGACGTAGACCCACCGGCGGGAAGCCATTGCCCGCTCTACGGGATGACGTCATGCCCTCGCCCCGGCCCCCCCAACTCCGCCGTGCCCGGCAGCGGGGCGGGCGGGTCACGGACACCGTGGCGGTGAACCCCGGCCCCGCCGCACCGCCAGGCCCCGCCCCTCGCCGCCCGTTCCCACCTGGTGCCCCGGGCGGGGCGGGGGCGCCGACAGACGCTGGCAGTGCCCGCGGGCCGAGGGAGCGCGCAGGGCCTGCCCGCCGTTTGCTGCCACGCTCAACATGGCGGCCGGGCCACACTCAACATGGCGGCCGGGCCTGGGCTCCTCCCCCCCGCCCTCCCCAGTCCCGGAGGGCCCCGCGCTCCCCGCCCCTCCCCGTTCCCGGCGTGCCCCGCGCGGCCCCGCCGGAGCCGCAAGATGGCGGACACAATGAGGGGGAGCCGCCTCTGCGCGGCCTGAGCGCGCCGCGACCGCCGCCCCTCACGGCCCCTCACGGCCCCCGCGCCGCCCTCACGGCCTCTCGCTGCCCCCGCCGCCCCTCACGGTCCCTCGCCGCCCCTCACGGCTCCCGCCGCCCCCGCCGCCTTTCACCGCCCCGCCGGGCCCAGCCGGCCGCTCGCCCCGCCGCCGCCCCGCAGCCCCGCCTGGCTCTGCCCTGAGCGCCGCCGCCGCCCTCGGCGCGGCGCGGCCCGGCGGGCGGGATGAAGCTGACGGACAACGTGCTGCGGAGCTTCCGCGTGGCCAAGGTCTTCCGCGAGAACTCGGACAAGATCAACTGCTTCGACTTCAGCCCCAACGGCGAGACCGTCATCTCCAGCAGCGACGATGACTCCATCGTGCTCTACGACTGCCAGGAGGGCAAGTGAGTGCCGGGCCCGGCCGGGGGCGGGGGTGCAGCCTTCGGGCTGGGGCTGGGGCTGGGGCTGGAGCAGCGCACGGGTCCGGAGGGGCCGCCCGTGTGGCCCTGGGGGACGAGCTGTGCCCGGCCCCGCGCGTCTGGCGGGTGAACTTTAGTTGTGGCTTCAGCTTGGGCTTCTCTCCTCTTGTTTTTCTAGCGTAGGTTCATGACAGAATCCCAACGGCAGAAATAGGAACAGCGTGTTTTTGCCTGCACCACGGGTGTCCGCGCTCGTTATTGCGCTAGATAGGAGGCAGAGGTGGTGATTTGCCAAGTGCGAGAGAGGGTTCACTTCTGCGAGGGCTAAACTCAAGCTTAAGGGGCTGAGCCTGGCCGTGTTTCCAGGCCTCGGGGTTGTCGCATACACGAAAGTGACTGAAACTGACTTGGCGAGTGTCTCTGCGCTTTAGTGTCGCTAATTAAAAGAGAGAAACGGTGGCTGTGAGCAATGTACAGCTGTGCCGCTTTAAACTACCTCATTCGAGTGCAACTTCTTGGATGTGCGTGTTGTTGTAACTTGTGATAAACCTGATGGTGTTTTTCCTTAAGGCCCAGTTCCCACGTGGTGCCTGGGAATGTCGAAGGTGAAAGTGGCCCTTCGTGCTTTAAATCCTTTTCTCTAGTCGTGTTCGTATCTGTAAAGCACAGTTAAAATACATGTGATCATGTGATTTACACGCGTCTTCAAACCTTGTCTTAATTTAGATTTTATCAATCAAGGATTTATTGGCTTTTGTTGCTTAAAAGTAATGAGTTAAGGCGTGTGTGTTTCTCACTTCATTGATCACATGATGCTTGTCCTGTTTTTTTGGATAAACCCCCAGAAACTTGCAGGGCATTTGGGATGTTGTGCTCGCGTTCAGAGGATGGAAACCTGCAGGTGGTGACTCTGCAGTTGATGGCTTGGACGGTACACTGAGGGCATTTGTATTCTGTGAGAGTTGGAACAAATTGAGCCAAATAGTGTCATTAGTCCATTAAATTCTTTCTCAGTTGGCACGAGTGTGTGTAGAGATGTAGTTCTGAGGTGATTTTTTTTTTCTTTGTAAAGTCAAGATGAAGGAGCATCATATCAACACAGAAAGTGAAAGGAAAACAAGTATGTATATTGTAGAAGAGGGTATAAAAAGGACAGAGTGGTGCATGAATGAAAAAGAAATGGCTTGGGAGTATGAGGATGTAGATGTGTTAGTATTGTGTGTATTTTCTAGTGAACCAGGTGTTGCTAATCCTCCTGCTTTTCCAAGCAGGCAAAGACATCATACTTGCAGGGATGAAAGATTGCATTCTGCAGATTCTCTTAATTTTATAGACCACTTATTTTATGTTATTTTGACTTAATATTTGCTTGCTTTACACATTAAAGTGATTGGTGTTGCCCATCTGATAAAGTGAAGTCTTATGTGAAATTATTTAATTTTTTATTTATTTAAGATCAAGTAACTCTATACATATGGAGTCTGCCATGGATTGTATCCTAGATCCTAATGATATACAATAGTGGCAGGGCTGAGTGATGTTAATGCAGATGGTATTGATTGCTCTTCCCCTTTCAAACTTGTAAAGAATAGTTTGATGGGTTGGGAGGCATTTGGTCCTTTCATTCTGATCTCCATCTAGTCCTGATGTCTGTTTTATAGTCAGAGGCTTTGCTTTAATTAAGTTAAATGTAGATCGATGGTCATCTGCTGCAGGGCAATGAAAGTACTGTCATCAAGGTAACCCCTGTGCCAGGATGCAGTTCTCCAGTGTTATAAAACTATAAAAATTAATTTGAAAGTTTCTCAGGTACTATCAATTGAGTTAAAAGTGTAGCTGTGATTTTTTTAGAGGTACCCAGGGATGCAGGACATACTGCTTCTCTCACCTGGAAAGTTTTAGCTGGGAATTACTTTGTCACTGGATATCCACGTGAAGATGAAACCTCAAATTTATGAATGATTGGTGGTGTGGCAGTTTCAGGCCTGTAGTTTATATTTTGTCTTACAAATCACCATTTCAAGGGTCTGGAACTCTCACCTGCTTGTATATGTTATTGCTAATGGATGTATTTGGCAATACAGTTTGATTTGCAGGTGGGCTGGGTATATTAACCTTGACCTTGGAATTATGTTTAGTGATTGTGATTTGATAAAAAAATACTCAATTTCCTTGTTTGTGTTTAAAGTAGTGGATTGGCAACAGGTGGTTGGTCTTGTGTGCAGTGACACACTTCTGCTTGTCTCAGCTTACATGAAAACTTCACCTTTCCTAAAGCACAGAAGTCCTTTTTCCCTTCTTTTTGGTAAATATGCTTTTGCCCACCTGTCAATCTTTGTTGTCTCTGTGTGTATTCATTGATTCTGAATGGAGCAGCTTCTAAGCTTTAAACTTGTAATAGTAAAGGAAGAGCCAAATTATGAGAGTCTTAATGTTTTGAGAGTGACCTTTTTTTGCCGTTGTTGGTTTGTTGTTGGGCTTGTTTCCCCCAGTTTGGTCATAGGTGAGGTAACTAGGTGGTAACTGAGGTGAGGTGACTGCAGAAAGCACTATGGGGAAGTATGTCAGGCGTAATGTTAACAGAGTGTCAAAATTTAAATTTGGTGTGTTGATTTCAGGGTGTAGCATATTTGCATCTGAAAATTGATTTAAAAATCTACTGCAGGAATTGGGGAAGAATCATTTTAGATTTGGTCTGTGGTACAGGTGGTGTGTGGGTTTTCATTACGTTTTCTGTAATGCCTTCCACTTAGTGGAAGCTTGTCCCCAGCAAGTTCATTTGAAGGTAAAGCCCTGTGGCTTCTACCGTTTGAGAATTAATCTGTAAGAACGAATGTCTGTTTTCCTTCTGATATGAAAAGTCTCCCACTTGTGCTCTTGTTTGGGTGTGTCAGTCTGAGGCTAATGAAAAGAAGGAAAAAGTCCAGCATATTAGAAATACCTTGTCTGAGGGTGTAGTCTGATAAACCTTTCCCTTGGCAGCAGTATTGGTTTCGGCCACTCCTGCGGTTTGTTTCCATTCCTGTGCTGTCCTCTTTGGTTGTGTTGGTAAAATGCTTTGTGGGCCTGTGTAATAACCAGAGCTACAAATTTCTGGATTAAAAGTGCCTCCTAGTAGAGGTGATATTTCTGGTGTTTGTCAGTACCCTCATTGGTTGGCTGCCAAAAAACATCTGTGCTCCCTCAGTTGACGATGAAAGGGGAAGGAGGGCCGTGGAGACCTTGTGCTGCGGAGACAGGCACTGCTGCTCTGAGATCCTCCAGCTGCTTCTACATTTACTCTGCAGTTTAAATTTCTAGGAGTGCAGCGCATCACCTGCTTACCAACCCCCTAAAAATCCAGTTCTGTCGGTTGTGTTCACTCTCACTACAATGTCTTTCATTCTGTTGCAAAATGTTAAATTTGAGTTTCATACTTTAAGGTTGGATTGAAGTTTAATTCTGCAGTCCTTTGGAAAAGTCCCTGTGTTACCATGTCTTTTATAGACTATTGGTATATATACACGTTTGGGTTAATACCACAGGAATGAGACATCCCATTCTAAGTTTTAAAGTAACAGAACAAAAAGACAAATTACGCTCAATCTAAAATAAGCAGCAGATGAATTGGAGATTTGGATGGGCAAGGGCACAGTGAGGCAGTGCTGCTTGCTGTGCTTGTTATGTTAGCTCCTCCTTTTCTTTTTGCAGTAGACATCATGGGAAAAGGAATTTTTGTAGGAGACAAGTGCATTTTGCAGGTATTATAGGGAACTTCTCAAGCCTGGGGATAGTCTTGGAGAAACATTGAGGTCTTTTTTGAAAATCAAATACAAAAGGTTTTCTTTCTTTGTACAAAAACATTTGACTACTTGAAACCATGATGTAATACGTGAATGGAGACAGGCCTTGTTAGTGTGAATTTCGTTTTGAGCTTTTTGTTGCAGTGAGTGCAATTATTTCTGCTTCCTCCCGACAGACCAAAGAGAACGTTGTACAGTAAGAAGTATGGAGTGGACCTCATCAGGTACACACACGCTGCCAACACTGTCGTGTACAGCTCCAACAAAATAGATGGTAAGTGAGCCACTGGAGTGGAGCATATTGAATCTCTTTACACTGCATGTCTGGATAATTAGCTCTAAAGATCTGGGAAAAAGTTACAGCAACTCTTCAGTGGCGAGCACTCTGTCAGAGACAGAGGAGTTAATGTCTAGCACTAATGCACAACTTAGTGATAGTCCCTCGAGCATGAGGTGGAAGGAGCAGGTGGGCTGAATGCCGTAGCTCTGTGTGGTACACACACAACTCAGCTGCAGAGGAGGGGAGGGCGTTCAGGTAACTCAGCAGATCACCAGCCAAGCCTGGAGGAGGCCACAGAGCTCTTCAGAGATGAGCTTTGCTTCTCATCAGCTGTTTTTTTCCATATTCTAGACAGAAAACCCAT